AAAGCCAAATCATTTGTGTCCTAACGGGCAAAAGAGCAGTTAAGCAATTACTGCAGCTCTGCAGTCCACCCTGCAGCTAAAAGAGAAGGACTCAGGTTGTTGTCAAAGCTCAGAGAAATGGCCATCCCCATTTTGATATTAATCAACGGGGCTAAGGTTTTAATTCACACCCTTGTCAATTTTGCTGCAATAGGGTGTAAAATAAAATTGGATACAGATTAATTCCAGTCAACCCCAGTTATAATTATTGGTCAAAAGTCACAACACCAGACACATTTATTGTTAGTTATCTCAGTAATCTTTAACCTTCCATGGCAAAAGATCTCCAAAGAGGAATAGAAAACAAACAAGGGTTGGGCATTAAAACATAATGACTCAACTGAACCTGCACTAGCTTAAGGCACTATTTTCTCTTCTTTTGTTTTAAATGTCCCTCCAAGCTTGTAAAGCAAGCTTGACATCTGTATCAGGACACAAGAGGTGTTAGCTTAATAATGATCTTGTTCATGGAGCATCTGTGAAAGCATTAAGTTATCTGAAATTCATGGGTCTGGTCAATCAAAAACAAAAGCATCCCCTACTGCTGTGTGATAACTTCACACATTGCTTAAAAGTCTAGTTTGAACTGAAGATGTTCATTAAGTCTGTGCATAATTTCCAGCCTCTTTGTTAGGTACTGAAAGGGTACTTCAGATACTGTGCAAAAAGCTCTGAAAAAGTGCATATCCCTGTGCTGAATTCATATGCCACTTGGTGTTATGTGCACCAGAGCACATAAGGTATGTCCAGAGAGAGATCACTCGCCTATTCTTTAAATATGCAAACTGAATCATGAAATGTCATTGGCACAAACAGAACTAGACAGCGCTTCTGCCAGCAAGGCAGATGAGCTTGAGTTTAAAGCTCCAAGGAGACCTGGGTTCAAACCTTGGTACTGACTTTCTGTTTGACCACACGTCAATTAATTACTCAGATAATCTTTGCAGAGTGATGTGAGATCTTTGAATGAGGGATGGTGTAAGAGCAAGGTGATAGAAACTTTAGTTGGTCCATGGTGTCTCTAAACACAGTACTGAAAAGAAGAACTGTGTGAAACTATGATTTCGTTTCACAGGGATTCATTTCACTTTCGTCTGCAAAGGAATTACACACCCATGTTTCGTTTTGACTTTTGAGGTTCAAAAAGTCCAGCTTTGGCCCTAACACTACGACAATCAGTAGGATTACTGAGACGCTTTCAAAGATGTTCAAGCCCTTGATGAACCAAGTCTGTGGTTCACAAATTTGCAGGAACTTACAGAATGTTAGTTGGCTGTTGGGTTGTTTTTTTTTCCCTTGGAATGAATCACCTGTTTTCACCTGGTTTTGAATTGACACCATGAGAGAGTACTTTTGGCAGGTTTTTTAATCCAAACCTGTGAGTCCTCCTAGCTCCTAAACACTGTGGAAATAGTTTTAAAAATTCAGGCAGATTAGAGAGAGAAAGAGAGAAAAGGAGCGCGCAAGGGAAAGAAAGAGAAATTTCTCAAAGGGCTAGCAAATCTCAGTAACCTTTTGACAAACGTGGCCTGAGTTCCAAGTTTGTGATGAAACCTGAAGCCAGGCAAGTTTCTTGTGATTTGGGGCTCTGCTATGAACATTTTGCACAGCTCTAGCTAAAAGGATCTGTCCTGCTGTGCTGCACTCTGTGCCCTGTGTGCAGTGCATTTGTCACTGTGCAGAACAGAGGAGGGGAGTACAGATCAAAGGCGGCAGAGAAAGATGGGCTCAGCAGCATCTGAGGATCAAGGTGCCCCTTAAAGTTTTTGTGTTTTTCTATTTGTTGTTAAATATTTTTATTTGGGGGTGGATGAGGGGGGTGCAGAGAGGAATCTGCAGCCCTCTAGTTTTATGTTTTGCTGATCGTTTCTGTCCTTTGCACACTGAGCCTTCTCATGAATTAATGCCCTGACTCCCATATAGCAGTACATTTGTGACCTTCACATACAGCAAATCAGTCTGATTCCTTTCTGGATAAACCCTTGTCTCCCAGAGCAGGCCAGCTCTAGAAGCCCTTTTCCAAAACAGTGTTTGTGATGCTGCAAAGGAAGGCTTTGGATTAATTTCTGTTGCCCTGCTTATGTGCAGAGATCTTCAGGCAATCAGAAACATCACCTGCAAATCTTCCTGACAGTACAATTTTGCCTGTAGCTATGAGGTTCAGTCATACACAACACGTCTTCCTTCTAGTCTCATTGCTCTTAGAACAGTGCTGGGCACATTTTTTGCTTGCATTATGCTTAATTCATAGACTCAGCATTTGGCATTGTTTGTAAGTCTATCATTATCTTTGTTCATATTGACATCAAAAGCTTCCCTTCATGTGTGTGTCTATGAGCTCGGTGGAGCCTCTCTATCAATCAGTCAAGCACACAGGCAATCAATCAGCATACAAGTATCTGAAGCTGCTAAATACAACAAGAGAGCATGTCAGGCAGATACCTGGCTTCTAATTAGGACTAGGCATTATTCTAATTTCTCTGACTTGTTCTGTACTTCATAGGACCTGGGGAAGTACTTTGTCATTAACATGTCAATAAAGCAATACAAATGAGGCTGGAGGGAAATACCAGCTCCCAGCACCACAATGTCAGCCCTGGTCTCTGATGCATTCTTTTGCTGGGGGGCGGGAGGGGGGAATGCACTTTCAGACGTAGTTGATCAAAGAAATATCATATACAATAGATTTTCTTTTCTTCACTCTAGTGGCTGGGTGGCCCATTGCAATTGATTGAATTTTATGAATTAAGTGAATAAGTGAACACACAATGACGAGGTTGTGTTACAAAAGCTAGGATGCCAGATTCTGCATCCCTTAAGCCAGTGTCAGTTGGGACTAATTCCACTGACAGCAATGGAGTTACACTAGATTTCTTCTGAGGCAGCCTGGATCTGGCCTGCCTTGTTTTTTGATGGCTGTAATTTAGTTTAATTATTTATGCTAACCCTTTATGCCATACTTTAAATGTACTATGATATATTTTCTCAAGGTAGAGAAAATTTAGTATTATAGGTCATTACTGCAACATTAACACTACTAAATCTTTGCAGAGAAGAGATCCCACTGCTGATGGTGTGAAAATGATGAGGTATGTAGATTAGCATAGAGTAAGATAAAAAGATTCGACTGTAAAAGCAGGGAAAAAACCAATTCCCTTTAACATATTCTGCTATTTGGAAATATCAAAACCCTCTTATTTCTTTTTTTCTTTATGTGATATTTGTAAAATAGAACAAAAAATAAGGAAGAAAGTTTATGAATCCTGAAAACATATGTCTGGAATTAAAAATATCCATCTAAAAACTCTTCCCATGACAATGTGCTTCCCCCTGCACCCTGAAAATTTCTGCACTGCACTGATGACAATGAAAAAAAAAGCAAAAGAATATGAGAAATAATAGCTTTGATGACTGCAGAACCCAGGTAAGCAAAATTATTTTGCTTAGTAAATTGTAAATCTTTATTCTTAGGTGGTTGCATAACACAAATAACTTTAAGGAAGAGCTGTTCTGTTCATGAGATTTAAGGATTGTTTAATGCATGAATGAACTGCTGCCATCTTCTGACTTTTCTGAGTTCTGCAAATTAAAAAGACAATTTTCTACTGTAATGAAGTGCCCTGGGGAAAATACTTGTACTGTTAGAACTGGGAGGCATCAAGGGCTTTTTAAATAATTTTTCAAGATGATGAAGTCCTTCGGGTGTCTTTTACAAGTATATAAAGAAAGACTAAAATTGGGGTATGGATACGGTGGTGGGTTACCACGAAGAGAAGCAGGTGAGAACACTTTCATCGTTGCCCGAAAAATGTGCCTTATCACAAAGTTAGACCCTAATTTGCTTCTTTACAGCCATATGGACAACTCTACTAAACCACTGGGCAATGCCCATGTTTAAATGGGGTGAAAACATGACTTAATGACCTGGAGGTGATACTAAGATTAGGATGCCAATGCAGGCTCATACTTTGCCCTTTCAAAAAAAAACAAAAAAAACAGGAGCAAATGAAATGTCTGGCTGAGAAAAGCCTTGAATTTAAGCAATTCCGTTCAAATTTTTCATGTGATTCTTCAGCTTTACAGGAGGCCAAGCTGGAACCTCAGTTCTAAGCATCCACAGCCTCGGGGGCATTTGAAATGAGAAGCCAAATTCTGCACTTGGAGCCCTTTTGAATATCAGTGCCTTTTTTGTTCTTGTTGTTTTGGGGTTTTTTTGTTGCAGTGTTTGCTCATACAGGCTGGATATGTAATCCTATTCATTTATCTATCAGTCTCTCATCTACCACCAGGGACATTCAGGGCTCTGTTAAATTTAATAGTTGGTGAGAAATAAAGACATTATGGGCTACTTTAAGTGAACTGTGGCTACTGCCTGCCATATTAACTGCTTTTGGATTCCCTCGTCCTTCCATGCGGACGCTACTCAAGTAGGCTCTGCGCTGAGTCCAAAGACTGGCTATTCACGTGCTTCAGGAGGAGATGTGCGGATATGTCTGGGGAGAAAAAAGGTTTTGAGAAGGAAACTTTAGGTCCAACAATAGGACATTTTTGGCTGCCACCTCTCAGTTGTGCTCAGCACCAGCTGTTCCCAATGTTTACACCTGATTTTGGAGAGGTCCCTGCACTCAGCCCATAGATCTAGGTATCTGGACACTGATTTGGTACCTGACGGGGCTAAGCCCCACCAGGCAGCTCCTGCTATCACACCCCGCCAGTGGAGACACCCGGCCAGGGCAAGCACATTCTGCAAGCGGTCATCCCACTTTGGGAAACAGCTGTTTAAAGGAAGTTCCCCTGGAGCTCAACATGCATCCAAAAGGGAACTGCTTTGGATAATTTAAGAAACCAGAAATTCACTGGGACTGTGCATATAGTCATAAGGAGCAAATTACATGTCAAGAATCACAGATACAAACATTACCTGGTGAGAGCGCCTTCCTCTACTTCCCTGGGAGACGTACCTCTGCCCTCTTTAATTTCTTTGGCTCTGAGGAAGAAGAACAAGTTGACAAAGTACATTCTGATCTGCAAACCAACAAGAAAGAGTCAAAGGACATAACATAGCTCTTTCCCATATGCTCCTTTCCTCTCTAGCAGCTGCCCAAATCATGCAGAGATGACATGGCTTTCAGTGGGACTCCCATACGCACCCTGGTGCATATTCCCAAGTGAGATGGGGTGAAAATGGAAGATTTCCTTTGCCATGTGAATAGGTAGGTAGACCAAGCACCAGAGCAGGTACAGGACAGCAGATACACAAGGGTACTTCTGTCAGGGCAGGGAGAAACCCCAGGCCAGACAGTGCCTCTTGAGTGTGGAGCTTTTCACGGTCACGACCACAGGCAGCTCCTTGCTCCAGTGACGTAGCAAAGCCCCAAAGCCTTCTGAGATGCATCTCCACTCCCAGCAGCATCTGTCTCTGTCAGGCCAGACCTGATTCAACATCTCAGTTACCCACCCTGCCCTTTGCCCTTCACTTCAGTTAAAAAACAGCAAAGCACTCTTTATCGTGCCTTCCTGCGGGTGGCTAGGAGCCCCTTGAGGCATGGTGACCCGCTCTCACCCTGGCAGCTTGCACCATCATGCCTACACAGTATTTACAGCTCTCCTGTGCCAGCCCCACTGCCAGCTGTGAGACTGCCAACATACTTCCTTTCTATTGCCTGTGGAGAGCCACGAGACGAGAAGGCTTCTGCCTGTGTGCTGAACC